ATTAGGGTTATTTGCTGTCAATTACCGTTATATAGTTAACATTATATATCACATACTTTGTATGTATTATAGCTATATTTAAATACGCTGTAGCAGTATTAATTAGTATGTTATTATACTAATTATTGTATATTATATAATCTGAATGTATATATATTTGGCGGTCATACTCCTGTAAATATACTTCTTAGACCGTACGGCTCATAATTATTCTATATTGTTTGTCACTTAATGAGTCTCACTACTCTATTATACTATAGGGTTATGATAATATTATATTAGTAAAAAAATTAAATAGATAATGAGGGGGGGATATATATATTTATATATATAATCATATTAATCTTTATTATTTATATTATAATATCATTATATATATATATAATTATATATATTTATTATATATATTATATATATCATATTGACATAAACTAGTCACATTATAATAGATTAATATATATTATATAATAATTTAATATTATTAACTTATTAATAATATTATATATATATTCTATAATATAGTATATTAAATATTAATATTATAGTATATATATATATTTATTAAATCATATTGTATAATATAATATTATTATCTATTATTATACATACACATATAGTGTATTGTGTGTGTGTGTGGTATGTGATGTTGTAGTATGTTATGAGTGTGTGATGATAGCATTTTGTATTCCGTTGATTTTGTCTATTGATTATCGGTTGATATATCTAGTGGTTCGGTTCTATTAATAGTTGTAATAGTATGATATATGTAATATATTATGTATATTATTCTATATATTTAATGTATATAGGTAGTTAGTTAGTGTTTAGTGTTAGTATCGTGTGTGTGTTAGTGGGTTGATTTAATGTGGTATTCGTGTGTGTTGTGTTGTACACTATTATATTAGAACGCTGTCGTTGATGTAATGTGTAGTGTGTGTAGTGTGTGTGTAGTGTGTGTAGTTGATGTGTTGTAGTGTATGTAGTGTGTGTGTGTGTTGTTGTGTGTGTGGGTGTGTGTGTGTGTTGTGTGTGTGTGTATGTTGTGAATGTGTGTATATTATATTAGTATATACACAATCTGTTATAATTTTATAATTGTATATATATTATATTATATTTAAAATACTAATATATCATATACACACGCAATATAACATTATATATTAGACACTCACTACACTAACATACACCACACAATATAATACTCACATAATATACTCACATACTAACATCAATATATAATATATATGTGTGGTTGTGGTGGTGTGTGTGTGTGTGTGTGTGTGTGGTGTGTGTGTGTGTGTGTGTGGTGTGTGTGTCGTAGTGTGAGTGTGTGTGTGTGTGTGGTGTGTGTGTGTGTGTGTGTGTGTGTGTGTGTGTGGTGTGTGTGTGCTACGTGTGTTAGCAGCATGTGTGTGTGTGTGTGGTGTGTGTGTGTGTGTGTGAACACGTATATATATATATATATATATATATATATACACATATCATAATACATAACATATATATGTGGTGTGTAGTGTGTGTGATGTGTGTTGTGTTCGATGTGTGTGTCTTGATGTGGTGTGTGTTGGTGTGGACTAGTGTCATTTATAACTACATTACAACATTAATAATAAATTATTATATTATCTTAAATAGTAAAATTAGATATAGGTATATTAAGATAGATATGATAAGATATATATATACATACTATATATATATATTATATTATATTAATAAATTATAAATATATATATTAAATATATTATATGTAATATGTATTATATGTATATTAATAATATAGTGTATCGTATGTTATTAATGTTATGATATGTATGATTATGATATGTATGATATAGTATATAGTTAATACCAAAATACAATATAACATATTTAAATTTTATTTATAATATTATGTATATGTTATGTGATGGTAGTGTATTTGTAGTACGTGTCAATTGTATATGTATGTGTGTGGTGTGTGTGTGTGTGTGTGTGTGTGTGTGTGTGGTTGTGTGTGTGTGTGTGTGTATGTGTGTGTGTGTTGGTGATGTGTGTGTGTGGTGTGTGTAGTGTTAGTGATGTTGTGATGTGTGATGTATGTGTTGTGTGTGTGTGATGCGTGTTGGTGTGTGTGTGGTGTAGTGTGTGTGTGTGTGTTTGTTTGTGTGTGTGTGTGTGTGTGTGTCGAGTGATGTGCATGTGTGTGTAGTGTAGGTTGTAGTGCTGGTGTGCTAGAAAACGTAACGATATAATATACAAAATGTATTACAATAACACACTACACACACACAATACAACACAATAAATATAACACACCACATACAATCAATACATAACATAACATACATTACAACTAGTTGTGTATGTAGTGGTATGTGGATGTGTGTGTTGTAGTGTGTTGATTGTTTGTGTGTGTGTGTGATGTGTTGGTGTGTGCGTGTTGTGTGGTGTGTGTTGTGTGTGTATGTATATTATATATTAATTAGTATGTATGTATGATAAATGTATTAGTTGTAATATCATGTTATATTGATTTAATGTATGCATAATAAAGTACATTAAGTATCGATTGTTTGTGTTTATTTTAGGTTTAATATGATGGGTTGTTTGGTATTGTGTTGTGTTGTTGTATGGTGGTGTATTTTGTGGATTGGTATGGTTGGTGGTGTGTTGGTTTGTTGTTGTGTGTGGTGTTGTGGTGTGTTGTGGTGGTTATGTGTGTGTTGTGTGTTGTGTGGTTGTGTTTGGTGTGTGTGTGTTTGTTGTGGTGTGCGTCGTGTTGTGTGTGTGTGTGGTGTGTTTTGTGTGTGGGGTTGGTGTGTGTGTGTGGTGTGGTGTTGTTGTGTTGTGGTGTGGTGTGTGTCGTGTGTGTGGTTTGTTGTATGTGTGGTGTGTGTAGTGTGTTGGTTGTGTATGTAGTATGCATGTGTAGTGTGTGTGAGTGATGTAGTGTGTGATTGGTAGTGGTATGTTGAGTGTATGTGAATGATGTGTGTGATAGTGATATAGTAGTGTTATGTGTAGTGAGTGATGTGTGTATGTGCTGATGTAGTGATGTGTGTGATGTGTGTGTAGAATCGTAGTGTTATATGATGGTATTGTGATGGTGTATATGATATAGTGGAGTAGTAGTGTGCGTGATATGATGGGAGTGTGTGAGTGTGTTTGATGTGTGTGTGTGTGTGCGTGTAATATATTACACATAATATAATAACTTGAGTACTCCCTCATACATCACTATCACATATACGCACACCTATACACACATACAAACATGTTAGTAGTATAAGGTTATGATTAGTATGTATCTATAGTATATATTGTATATATTAAACATCATAATATATATATATTATGTATATATATAATTTTATATATAGATATAAATATAAATATAATATATTTGTGATAGTTGTACGTAAGTGTGTTAAAGATTGTATTAAAAGAATTTTATAGATGAGATAGTTATTAAATATGTGTATATTATTTATTGATATGTATGTATGTATGTATGTATTATGCATGCATATAATCAAGCGTTACTGTATACGTGTTCATATGTATAAAATATACATACATAATTTTATGTATGCGTGCGTGGGTGTATATATGTGTGTGTGTGTGTGTGTGTGTGTGTGTGTTGTGTGTGTGTGGTGTGGTGTGTGTGTGTGGTGTGTGTGTGTGTGTGTGTGTGTGTGTGTGTGTGTGTGTGAACACGTATATTTAACAAAACCTTGCACTCCGAGAAGTTTTAAATG